TCAACGGTATTCTAAGTCATATAAGTCACCAACGATCTAGGGCAGCGCTTTTCTCTGTGAGGCACACAAAGCCATCTAGTATTCAGTGAAACCAGAGAGCATTTCAGCACTGTGAGGGGAAACAGTTTTAAAAGCACGACCAAAAGAAAACATCAGAAACATTCAAAACAGCACTACATGAATTGTGAAAAGAATATGTGTATATAGTACAAGAGCTGAAGCAACAGTGAAGAGGATGGCTTTGTCTGATGTTGGCTGGGCACAGGGCTCTTGAAAATCTGACATGTTTGCAGCTCCACAAATAAGAGACCAGGAAAGTGCTCAGACATTCATTTTTGTGTCACAAATAAATTTGAGTAGGCAAGTTTGTAAATTTAGCATTAGTGAACAAAGAGATTGCATTTAAATGTATGCTGTTTCTCACGGAGCCTTCTCATAAAATGCTATGTGCAAAACATCTATGAATAGAATATCATTATTATGCAACAAAAATTACATTTTAGAATTCTATGATTCTCTTCTAAAACTATGTATAGGTGGACTTTTGGGAAGTTAATTGGAAAAATTAAAGTCGGCATTAATATTCCAGAGCAAAGGCAGCACACAATACTGCATGAAAATCTAGCATTACTTCCAGCAAATTTAAAATTTGTCCCATCTGCTCAACATAAATGGTGAGTGCCAGAATACAATCAATTAATGCTATCAATATTCTTCAATAAGGGAGTTTTAATCTAGGAATTTATAATTAGTGAAATTATTTATTAAGGATGCAGTGGCAATGAATGTATCAGCATATGTGAAAAAAGGGACCCTGGCACTGCATGCTGTGCTGGCCCCGACCCCAGGCCACTGAGCAGGCGACCAAGTCCTGGTGTGGTGGTGCATGCCTGTGCCTGTCAGTCCAGTGCTGCAGAGGCTGAAAACAGGAGGATCACTGAGAGTCTGAGCTGCATAGTGAGAACTATACCAAATACATGATAAAGAAGAGGGATAAAGTCTATCTGATGCAAAATCTTCTTTGAGAAGTTACTTGGAGATATACCACAGAAAAAATTTGAAGCCAAGAAACTAAGAAATCTAGGAAGTATTTTGATCAGATCCACTAGAACGTACCAGAAAAAAAGAGCAGGGAAGACAGGACTCTCGGAGGAAAGATGGCATCAGGAGACAGATTTAGGAGATTTTCTGCTGAAGCCAAATTAGTTAGAATTTCAGCAGTCCTCAAAGATAAAATGAGAAAAGGTAAGAAAAGCAATAAAGTCATAACTGAAAAACCTGAATCTGAGAAAAATCCAACATTATCATGTCAGAATACCAGCCTTCTGCTACAAAACATATTTATTCTGATCAAAGTGTAAGGGCAGCTATACATTTTCACCCTATAGAGTCAAATTTTTGCCAAAGTATGAACTACTTATTTATGGTTACAAATATACTTCCAACACATTCCATATGAAAGCTCTGGACAGCAGAAGTTGTGAGAATAGAGAAAGACAGACAAAGCCTTTTGGGTATGAGACCACCTATGGTAGGTGAGACTGGAATAAAGTGCGGTGGTATTAGTTAATGTTATTTAAAATTGTGCCGTGACTGCTGATAGAAAGGGAGTGTGGCTGAAGAGAATTCACTGGAATTTCATCTGTCACATTGGAAGGGATTAGGGAGGAAATAAAATAACAGTCAATCACTTACAGTCACTAAAGGAAAAAGAAAAAATGAAGAATAACTTCATCCATTAATTGTAGTTATATACTCACTAAAATTATGAATAACACAATGTATTTAAGTAAAGTACTCTCCTAGATGTTATTGATAAAATCTTCATAAAGAGAATTTACACCAATATACCATTACTTCTGCAAGAAAGACTAAATGTATGTGCATGTGTGTATGCACTGTGCATGCCTGAAATGCCGTGCAAGACGTTATCTGCCTCATGAATGAAGACCAAGGGCTAGAGGAGCAGTAGTGGAAAGTTAGCTGTTGTTTTAAACTTTTTAAATTATGTGAATATACAGACTATTTTAAACATAAATATAACTTAAACAAAAATATTCAATTCCTTCTGAAAGGAACTATTAGTGGTAGAAAGAAACCAAAGTACTCCTATTTTTAATCATCAAATCCTCAATAGAATTAGATTAAATTTTTTTCTTTTAATCTCCCTGTCTTCCTCCCTCCTTACCTCCCTCTCTCCCTCATTTCCTCCCTTCCCTCCTCTTCCTTCCTTCCTTTCTTTCTTTCTTTCTTTCTTTCTTTCTTTCTTTCTTTCTTTCTTTCTTTCTTCTCTTCTCTTCTCTTCTCTTTCTTTCTTTCTTTCTTTCTTTCTTTCTTTCTTTCTTTCTTTCTTTCTCTCTCTCCTTCTTTCATAGAGGGTCTCTCTATGCAGCTCAAACTTGTAGTGACCCTCCTGTCTCAGCCTCCTCATTAGTGGGATTACAGGCATGTACCACCATGCCCAGCTTCGGTGGCTGGCTCGGCACAGAGCCGGCATGGCATGCAGTACCAGGGATCAAACCTGGGTCCTTGCACTTGCCAAGCAGGCACTTAGACGGCTGAACCAACTCCCTGGCCTAGAATTTGATTTTTTAACCTCTGTCCCCATATTACACACATCATCTGAATCACAGTTTTCCTACAGTTACCTGAAAGCTGAGTTCTTCTTTTTTCCTAGTGAAAACAATGTCTGTGAAAATTGTCCCTGCACCAGTCAATCTCTACAGAGCTGGGGTTCCTAGGGACTCCAGGAAGGCCATTTGCTCACCACTGTGACAGCACTTTCCCCTCACACACTGTTGTGTAGTTGTGTGCCTGCCCCTGCACTGCAGAGAGCCATGCTGTAGCCAGGGACTACTCTTCTTTGTTGTCTCAGAGCTTCACAGCACTGTTTTGGATTCAGTGTTGCCTGCTACCGGGATGAGTGCATCCAGCACTGATAGAGCAGTCCCTTCCCAATCAGGAAGAACATGCCCACAACTCAGGAGATCAGGAACATAAAGAACAGCTGTTGCTGCACAGGAAGCACGGTGCAGATCAGAGAAGGACGTAGCTGAGTGAGGATGGGCTGGGAGTGGTTCACAATCGTTCTCTCATTTCTACATCAGTACTTGAGAATTCAGCTTGTGGAATGAGCTTGTCAACAGTGTGGAGACATACATGAGTGATTCTGAAGGACATTACTGGAAACACAAAGACAGCTACGTGGAGGGAAAGCAAAGAAGCTTCTCCGAAAAAATCATGACAGGCACTGTGGGAGCAGAGGTGAAGCAATAGAAGTGCTAAACTTAAAAGACCAACGTTTTTTGTTGCTGTTGTTTTGAGACAGGGTCTAGCTATGCAGTTTGCTCTGGTCTTGTGCTCACTTTTGTAGCTCCCAGGCTGGTCTCAAACTCACAGTGATCCTCCTGTCTCAGCCTTCAGAGTTCTGGGATTATAGGTGTGCTCCACCATACCCCTTTCTGAGGTCAGTACAGTGCACATGGGGATTCTGGGCAGGTATGGGTTGGGGATTGAAGTTGGGTCCTTATGCTTGCCAGGTGGGCACTTATGCCTCTGAGCTGTCTTTCCAGCCCCAAGGTTTTATAATATGGGCATAACTGCTTTATTATTTTTAGTGATCTGTGTTCTGCTTCAAGATCCAAATTATACTGTAGACTGTCAAAAAATTTCTAATACTTTTAAAAAAATTTAACTATAGAAGTTAATGGAAACAGAGAAGTATGGTAAGGAAAGAAGTATTAATTTTAAAAAGTAACCAAATTTAACAACAGTATATAAGAAAATGTGTTATGTCATCACTAGTTCTATTACTGTGTAAAATTAAAAAGTTGAATGAAGATGAATATGACTTTATAACCCTCTGCAAGGCAACTGCAAGCAGCTTAGAATGTAGCAATGTTGTAATAACCTCTAGAAAGTTTTAGCTTTATTTTATCAAGGTTTAGGGTTTCTAACTGAATAAATTACACAATTAAATTTTTGAGGTAGCAACACCATAAATTGTACAATGTTCATCATTTTTAGTTTCAAATACTTCTACTCACTTATCTCAGTACAGAGTTCCCAGAGCAGAAGTAAGTCTACTGAATATTTTGTAACATTCATGGTTATGAATGGTTAGGTGCTACTATACACATTCAAGTAAATCTTTTCTTAGAAGTAAAATTGTAACATGCAAAAAAGAAAAAAAGAAGCCCTGAAGGACTAGTTATAATCTGGACTGTGTTCAGATGTCCCCCAAAGTCTCACTAGGTCATAGGACTTTTCAGTGGTGGCTGGATCTGGAGTGTGTGACACTGGGACTAATGTGTGTGGTTAGTAAGTCAGTGCACTGATTGGTGTGGCATAGCTCTGGCTAGGACTTTAGGGTGTGAATACTACACACCCTATAAAAATGATGAACATTGTACAGCACTACACAGGCTGCCCTAGGGTGGGTAGCATGCACACAACAGAAGGGGTGGAAAGGGTCCTGTCTCCTCCCCTTGTTGCTTTTGCAGTCCTGTGGGCGCCATCAACTGTTCTCCTCTGGGCTCCCCCTCTGCCATGTGCCACGCTGCCTTGGATCCAGTCAATTATGGACTGAAATCTCTACCATCTGTGAGCCAAATAGACCTTCCCCTTTTAGCTTTGGTTGTCTGGTATTTTGTCTCAATGAAACAACAGTATCTAAGACAAGTTAGCTGAATATTTGTGAATTCTATTTCAAACTTTATAGATTAATTCAGGTCAGTGACACATTTAAATCCCCATAAGACTTCCTATAATTGCCTGGCTATATGCCTAAATGTATGTTAGATGCAAACTTTCTCAGCAATTAGCTGGACAGTATGGGGTAAATGAGATGAGCCAGGAATTTCCTGGACCTCCTCCATTAGTATTCAGGAGAGTTGCTCAGTTAGTTCCCTCCCTCTGCTCTTTGCATCCATCCCTCTGGGGTCCATTCCGAAATATTTACAGTTCACAACCTCCCCCACCACACAGCCGCTCGTCCTTACCTCACTGATGAAGGACTTGGCAGTGGCCGGATTCATGACCAGGATGGCGCGCCGGAGAGTGTCTCGATAGCGATTCAGTTCTTCTATTCTCATGGTATCAAAGAGGGCGGTGATCATTTTATTGATGTTATTTTCTACTTTTTGAAGTGCAACATCCATTCCCTGCTGAGATACTTTGTCCAAAAATTCCTGTATTCCACGGATATCTAGGAACAGTAAAAACCCATCAAAGTGTGAGTGACAACACAGAAGGGGAATAAACGCCATCAGAATCGCTTTTTAATATTGCAGGTCATCTAAAATAAGTGGTGTCAGATGGAACTCTGTATGTTGATGGTTTGGTGATCAATAATGTGCTCACATGAAAATGTAGGGAGTTATTTCTAAATTATTTCAACTATGAATATGAAAAAATGTTGGGACACATTAGAGAAAGGGGAAAAGAGACATCATTTTCTCCAAGGCAAAATATTAGAAAAGAAAAATCTATTCCTTATTTTCTTTTACATTGAAATGATATAAATATCACTGAAGAAAGATGCATATGTATCAAGCTAACATTTTTCAAAATAAATAATATCAGTAAATTGAATTTATAATCTTAATAGAAACAGTGTTTTGAGTTTTCTTCAAAGACATAGACCAAAAATATAATAGCTGTGTTTTTGTCTGTTTTGTAAGCACCATATTGTTAAGTCAGCTCCAAAAAACTGGTAAGAGCTAGTTTTCTTTTTTTAAGAATACAGAAAATGTGCCATGTATTTAAAACAAGCCCATAAATATATTTCAGCATTTTATAAATATTATACAACAATTTTTAACATATAGTGATATACAATATATTTGCATCATGCATTGTACAGTATATAGGAATTTCCAAGTAAGGAAAGTTCTGTAAGTTTATCTAATAGAAAAATGGGGATTCATTTCACATTTAAATAAGGAGACTAGTCCAGGCTGAAGAAAGTACCATGAATTTATACCTGAATGTGTATTTTAAGTAATATGTGCTTATAATGTTATTAATGTGCATTTTTTGTGCCACAGGTTATTTATAGAAGGAATTTGAAATAATAAACATGACTGGAAAGTATATCCAGCATAAAATAATCTTAATACAGAGGATTTCCTTTTAGCATTTTATAAACTATATATATTTTTTACACATGCACACTACAAAGTGTTTATAAGAAAAAAATGATTGGTGAAAGAAAATAATTAAAAGGCATTTAGGAAGCTGCTGTTGATAATCTCTATCTCAAAATTCCTAATTGTATGAAACTACATGCATATAAAATTTATCTCTCTGGACAATAATTAATTTAAAAGCAATGAATAAGCCCACAGAACAAGAAAACAAATGGCTAAAAATGTAGAAACTTCAATTTACTCATAACAAAATTTTATATTTATAAGGTTACAAGTTTAAAAAGTTTTCATGTGGTTTCTTTTATCTTAAAACACTACCATGAATATCATATGTTCAGTTAATAGTCTTCAAAGTAGACATCCTGCATAAATTGCAACTTATATTTCTTACTGATAATTTGCTTTGCTTTGTTTTCAACTTTTTTCTTTGACAGATAACCCCAGGATGTCATCACTGACTGAACCAGGTTAAAAGCACAGAAGTCTCAGAACATGAAGCAGGATATAAAAGAACTGGAATAATAAAGACAGGATGTGTTCATTAAATATCCAAACTTTATAAAGTACCTAAGCAGGCAAGTCAAAGATACCTGGATTAGATAAAGGGCTAAGTGATGGTATTGGATGGGTAAGGTAGACACATAACATTAGGACCTTTCAGATGTGAGAATCAGCCTCACTTGAGAAGTACACCAAGAATTCAAAAGCCTGGCCCCATCTGAGAAATAAAACAATATCCCTTTGTATGTGTCAAGAATATAGTTTGCTTTGGATTATAAATTTTTGTTTGAATTATTTAAATGTGTGTCAATTATTTAAGTGTAAGTCAAACAAGCCAAACACTGCACAGTGACGCCTCGGTCTGTGAACTTCACACTGGGTGAGGAACATGAGCCTGGCCATCTTCCTGCCACGAACAGCACGGCCACCTCTCCAGCACTAACAGGAAAGCAGCCACCTACCCAGCGTTGCTGAAGGCATTAAGTCTGTGCACCAAGGCACCACTGTATGTGCTGAAACAGGTCTGAGATCTCAGAAAATGTAGCATGTGCAAGTGTGAGAGCGTACACTTGTAATCCCAGCTCCCAGAAGGCTGAGGTAGGAGGATCACTGCAAATTCAAGGTCCGCTTGGCCTGCACAGTGAGCTCAAGGCCAACTGAGCTGAATCATGAGTCCTTGTCTTAAAAACTAAGAATACTCCCTACTTGTGTGCAGCAGCTGTCTGTTCTCTCTCTGTTCCCTCTTATTCCCTTCAAATAAATCATCTTTTATTTTAAACTCTGCTCCTCTCATTCTTTCAAGACACTGGGTTGAGGTTGGCAGGGGCTGCATGCTCCAGAAGGGCAGCAGCTCACAGTACCTCAGGTCGGTACTACGGCACTGGCAGCGCAGGCTGTAGCTCCAGGAACTTACAGGCTGAGGTGGTCAGCAAGCTAGCTGCTGCAGCCCAGCAAGTCTGCAGTGACAGCACTGCAAGCCCTGAAACTCCTGAGGGCAAACCAGAGGACAGCACTGAGACAGTCCGCTTCCCAGAAGCCTCCTGGTGGGTACAATAGGATGCAGCCCAGGCCCCGCTGTGGGCAGCTGGGAACTGCCCTAATGAGCTCCTGAGACCTGGAGAAACTGACTGCAGTGCACGTCTCAGGTCACAAGAAATGCACCCAGTCCCTACAGAAGGGAGGTGCAGCCCCTTTCCTGGGTCTGAGAAAATCAAAGTGCAAATAAACCAATTCTTTCTTTTTAAAATCCCCAGTTTTGCTGGATGTGGAGGTGCTTGCCCCAAACCCCAGCAATGGGGAGGCTGAGGCCGGGGGATTACAGCACACCAGCTTACCTACATAAAGAGATTCTGTCTCGAAAGCCAAAAAGTAAAAATAAATTAAAAAATTAAATCCTGAGTATTCTTTAAACCCGATATGTTAGAGAGCTGGGTTAGAAGCCTGGGTTCCAATGGGGCATTTAAAACACACAGAGTTACCTGGCCTGGCCACTGAACAATTCAGCAGTTCCTGTGCTTTGCTTATCTTTAATTAGTCCTGTGTTAGGAGGCCCTGCAGCTACCCACTCAGGACACGGAGTCCACCCAAAGTCCAGCAGCTATTGTTCTTAGTTTCAATTAAACTCTCCTAACTCCCTCTCTTGGCTAGTGGAATCATTCCTTCAGGTCTGTGGACACAGGAGATTGGTGCACTGGGTAACAGAACCAGCAGTGGATCTCAAGGCCTTTGAACTGAGCTACATTCCCCAGTTGTTTTTTCTTTTTATTTCTTTGATAATTATTTTTGAAACAGGGTCTCCCTGTGAAGTCTAGGCTGGCCTTTATGAGGGGCAATTAGAGGGATAAACAAAAAACCCAGGACAAAGCACAGATGACTAACACTGTAAAATAGTTACACAATTATCTGCAGCTGATGATTTTAGAGTCATCATGTGCTCATCCTGTGCCATAAGCTTGGAAAAAAATGTGTCCCACTGTCATCTTATGAACATGTTACTCATAGTTACTGTACACTGAACTTGTCTTCTTCCTAGAAACAAAGACCAAGACCCAGACAGGCCGACCCCACACCCATCTGTAGAGCAGTGCGCACCCGTAAGTCCGGACACATCAATACTCATCTGGAGCTTGATGTTCCAGTCTCGCAGCACCATTTAACGGCTGCTAAGATGGTTCTCTTTCTGCTTCCTCTGCATCTGCCATGCTTTACATAAATTTTCACTTTTTCCCCATAATTTTATTGAGAAACAAATAGCAATGAGACTGTTTCAAATCAAATTGGTAGAACAGTTTCAATAATTAACACATTGCATACATTCTTCCTAGTGGTTAATTGATGTACAAGATGCGGACCTAATAT